AAATATATTTGTTATATGAAAGCTCTGTGTCTGTGGTCGCTGTGAGTATCCATGACGTCACAATATCACTAACCGCCACTAAAAGATGCCAGGTAGCCAAGGCCACTAAGGCTGAAGAACTGCAGTTGCATCGTGCCTGTAAGACTGCAGGTTCGAATTCCGCCCGAGATACGGATGTTGTGTGTGTCTGTATGTTTAGAAGTGTCCGTTAACCATAGTCTTTTCATACCTCATCCTCCCAGAACTAAGGACCTAGGGGGGAATAAAAATTAATTCAGCATCGCAATGCTGATCCCCTCCAAAAATAGTCTCGTGAACGTACCCCCCAGGAAAATATGACTGGGTTTCGGTAGGTACAGTTACACGTTCGCGTGGTTCTAAGAAGAGAGATTCGCGACCAAAAAAACGTTACTAAGAGCGAGAAAGTGTGTGCTGTTCTAACACCAATAGTTTTCAATTCCGTTCATTTTTTAGCTTCACTTAGCAGGCATTTTTTGAAGTCGCTCCTGCATCATTTGGGTAAACATTGTGATAAAACATTGCGTTTTTCCTCAGTTAAACGACATCCAAAAACCGTAGAATTCTACTTGAACTTCAAAACTGAAAGGGAATACTTTCTGTTTTTGAAAAAATATATTTCTTAAAGACACGTCACTTTGGAAGTAAACATTTCAATTCTAGCACATCCTAAGCGTCTAACTTACCATGAGCAAGGTGTTTCAACATTTTATTTGCTGAGTTGGTGAAACATTCATCGAGTTTTGGATCTTTTGCGCTACATATTTTCACATCAGGAGCTGTAAATAAGTGGGACAATCTTTAAAATAAAAATTTTAAAAACTTCTTTCAAACATTTAAAATTAAATACATTGTAATGTATTGGCATTTCTTACCACGACACAAAGAATCCCTTTACCAATGAAATTTTAAAATTGAATAACTCCATTGTATCGAAAGTACGAAGAGAAGAAGAAAACTCAAGAAATACAAGAGACATTTCTTAATTCACACCATGTATTTTACCTTACCATACTGGATTCAAATACTATGAACTTCTGTAACATTCTCCTAAAAATTCAAGCTGACACGAGTTCCAAAAATCATCTCTTGCTGTGACTTCGAAACCATTATTTTATTACTACGTATACACAGAAAGGTTCCTACTGTGACATAGAGGTCTTCATAGAAATGCACATTCAAATGCGTTTAATGATATTATAAACAGCCAGGCCGTGAGATCAACAGTAACGATATTGAACTTGCTCGTATTTTTAAAACGAAGGAGTGGTTTCAATACCAGATACTGCTTCCAAAGTTAACTTAGAATTTGAGCGAGGTAAGGAAATTGTTCTCACGTACTGAAATTCACAAGCAGCGAGGTGTTTTGCAGAATTGTCAATCTACCCCTTATCAACTATTTTTAAAATGAGACAGAACATTTCGCTACACTCAGAAAAAAAAGATTTACAAATACATTTTGATGAATAACAATACAGCAATAATATTCCTAAATGATATTACTGAAATATATTAGATATAATGACAACTCGTTCGTTAATTTTCAGCTTATGAGCTTTACTTTCTCCTTCTGCTATGAACCATCATTAAAATCATGTAAGACTTTTCAAACAGTTCAAATGATGTGCTCAAAGAGCGTATTCAAACGTTCACAAAAACAGCGCCACGTACAAATTTTCAAACAAAAAAAACTAATAAATTAAACCAAACATGCAATAGTCAGTATTGCAAGAAACACTTACGTACTAGAAAAGTCGGAGCTGAATATTTTTAACAAATGCAAAATACCCTCAGCATTTTCGACATTATACATGCAGTACGCAGCATATCCACTAAAATTCTGTACTTACGAAAGTATGAAGTATTTGAACTATTATCACATGACACTTCGAGACCCCACCACAGTAGCAGAATCATGCAACGACAAAAAGCTTTGCCATTTTTTAGGAGCATCTTGATTCCTTAGAGCAGAAACTTTCATCTGGAGTTGGACCTCCTGCTTATATACTCCACGAAGATCAAGTACCTTTCAGAAGAGCAGCACCGGTTTGAGAACTGGTTTCGGGGCACATTTCCACCAGGGGCTACTTCATGTCAAAGAACAAGGTCAGTGTCAGCACTTTTTTTTACAGAAGTAGGAGCTCTCGTATGTGTGTCGCAGTTTAACTGAACACCAAAAGAGAATAACTTCCTTCAATCACTTAGCTCCCTACGCAAAAAAGTTCTGCCTACACACAGAGAAGATTGGAATAAATAGAGCAAGTGATCGAATCCTTTTATTCTACAAAAAGAAACCGATGACTGATGTAAATGTGTAACTGGAAACATACATGTACACCAGTTAAGTAGGTAGTCGAGGTAATGAAGTTGGTTGGCGTATTAGGTTGTCTGTAACTCTCACGTTCGAAACCACAAAATTGAACTAGAGGTGGTAAAACAGCACGTACTTTCTCGCGTTTTTTATTTTTTATTTTTTTTTGTGTGCTGACAATTACGCGAAAAGTACTCTAGGTTTCGAAAAATTGTACATGACCTTACTTCAAAATTATGTTTAAGAAACAGATTAATTAAGGTAAAAACCTCAATAAAAAACTCAATGACAATCAATATTGAAGATATTGCAGCAATATCGATGGATATAAAATCATTTCGAAACCAAAGTTCAAATATGTCTCTGGTGCCTTGCCAGGCAATGCACTAAATACCTTGCCAGGTATTGCACCCCGCTCTTGGCTCTTAGGTGTATTACTGGGTTTACTTCATTTATTCTTTGGACCTTGGATTTAACACAGGGAACATTGAGCTTTTTGGTGATGCAAGGGAGGTGAGGTGGCGCTGTCTAGAGCTACGGCGACGGAGGGAGTCTCAGGAGAATAATATGCTGTTGAAATATTTGAATAATTGAATGAATGAATAATGAATAATAAATAATGAAATAATTGAAGGAAGTAAGGTAATAATCTTCATAAGTGTAGTTGTAGGAATACGCTGAAAATATTTCGATATTAAACTACAAAATTTCATTCATTAGATCGCTGGTGAGTTACATACCTTTTTATTATGATAAATAAATAAAGATGTTGTCTGGTATCAATACTTTATTGTGTAAGTGTTGTATAAGTATTCATACCAGACAACATCTTTATTTATTTATCATACAAAATTTCATCGAAAACGATGGAGCCTTCTTTTTAATTTGGAAAATGTCCCCGGGACTTCATGTGAAGATTTAAGTGCGAATTAACAATTAACTAAAACAAAGGTAAAGCTCAGCTTGAAAGTCTGCGCGTCCACAGTAATCTCAAGAGGTCAGAGCTTCCTGAGATGTTGAAGAAGGGTTCGGAAGCTGAGGGGGACCTTACACACACGGCGATGACGATGTTTCCAAAACATCGATGTTTTTAAAAAATTCTTATTTTGACATCAAGAAATACATTTCCCAGTAATCCATTATCGGATGATTGCCATCGCGACAAAAATCAGCGCTTTAGGACTGCCACATCGCCAACAAAACAAGCGTTGCCCCAACAGACTGGACTGGTTGACCTTCATAGAATGCCGGAAATGTAATTTCCGAAAATTCAAAAATACGAATATATAATAAAAATGTAAGCCATTCAAAATACTTAAAACTAAATTAAATGAAAGTCTATATTGAAACATTACTTACATTATTTCATGCGACGTGTTTGTGTCAGGTGTATTATACACGTCCCACGCACGTGGTTCTGGCTTTGGGGCTCTTAAGTTCGACTCCAGCACATCGCAACAAGCACTATTGCTTCGACACATTTCACATAAATAAAATAAATATATTTCAAAACACTCACTACTCTGATATATTTTGTAACGAAGATCCTTTCACACACACGCTCGTATTCCCATCAGTACTCTCTGTGGCTCTGCATCTGTGACTGAAGACTGCTGCAGGGAGAAATTTGCATCCGCCGTTGTAGACAGAACGGGACATTTTTCCATAACGGCCAACTTTACACAAATAATTCAACAAGTGTACATTTTGAATCAATACATCTAATATCATATGAAAACAAATTCTCTAAACATCATAAATAATGCATTAAATGTCGTTAATAATTGACTGAACTTGTGTACTTTCAATGACAAGCGAAATTCAGTAAATCACGTTGCAGCGAGTCAAAGACAGCTTATTATTCCCCTAAGACTCCCTCCGTCGCCGCAGCTCTAGACAGCGCCACCTCACCTCCCTTGCATCACCAAAAAGCTCAATGTTCCCTGTGTTAAATCCAAGGTCCAAAGAATAAATGAAGTAAACCCAGTAATACACCTAAGAGCCAAGAGCGGGGTGCAATACCTGGCAAGGTATTTAGTGCATTGCCTGGCAAGGCACCAGAGACATATTTGAACTTTGGTTTCGAAGTGATTTCATATCCATCGATATTGCTGCAATATCTTCAATATTGATTGTCATTGAAAGAAAAATGCATATTCTTAAGATATTATGAGATCTTTTACGATTATCTGGGGGTTGTGCAACCCTGCATCAGAAGCACGAGCGATCACTGTAACAAAATATTGACGTTTCTAAATATTCGACTCGAAACGATTTAATCGATGTTTTTAAAACAGTAACCTTTGAATTTCACTACTAGAGGATTTAATTTGTATATTTATTAATATTCAATTGAGATATATCTGACGAAACACAATTAACGAATTGTCATCACAATTAACAAAACTTGGAATATCTGATTCGATAATTAAGAAATAATACGAGTATTTTTTTCAGCCGACCTTTCTTAGCATTACACTTACATTCAAATATCACGGCATTAGGAAAGGTGTGTTTAGGTGAATTAATAAAAAATACACGTTTAATGCATATATAGTAATATCTTGTTATTCCAAGGTCACCTGCACGATCTCAGTATGTATTACAGCTCGTATGCACTATTTACGGAAAAGTTAAGATACATTAAATACACCATTTTAACTTCAACTAAATTGATTACATTCGTGAAATAGTCTTAGTAAATGACATTCGTCTTTTCAAAATTCTCAGATAATTTATTGTACGTGACGTGCTGAGAATTTATCCATTGATAAGATTTGTAAATCTTGACTAGTTTTAGTTCCTTTAACTCTACACATAAATATTTTGGTTCACGAATCTTATGAAACAGTATAGGTTCTTCTAATCCCTAGATGATTCAATGTTTTAAGTTCACCCTATATTTCTTTTTCACTACGTTTCGTGAATTTACTCACTACATAAATCAGGCGAGACTCCTAACTTGGAGATTCGTGATTTTGTCGACAATTTCCAATTTGTACGCGACCAAACGTACGAGAATTGCACATTTCTTCCAGGAGTTTTTCCCAACTGTTCGAATTAAGTTCTGAATCCACGTTCGTTCCGAGTTGTCACGTTGTTGATTTGCTGGGGTCTAGGACTCGGAAACGTCCATGTCGACGTATTAAATTGAATTCGTTTTAAAATTTGCAATTTTTTACATTGATTTATTGATGCATATGTTTTTACCATCAAGGTTTGGTGATAGACGTTTTAACGTTGTCGAGAAATTTGTATCTGAAAAAACTGACAATAGATAAAACCTAGCAAAATTTTCACGTGGTAATTCAGAACTCTTTTCCTATTCTTTTCTTTTTTAGTGTTTGAACAGTGGAAGGGGAGCTAGGCAAATGGTCAAGGTTAGTATTTAGGAAGGATGGGATAGATTAATCTCCCCTTCAAATAATTTAAGTCTGAAGATTAGTGTGACTTCTAGAATTACTTGTGTGTTTTGAAAATTATCTCTATGAGTTGGAGATATCACCGTAGTTCTTTTTCTTTAGAACTGCGAAAGTTTTCGTCCATACATTTGGCACATTATTTTAGTAATATTCAATTTCATATTAAAAGTTTTGAAAGTAGTTCCCATTTTCCCAATGTTGAGACAGTTAAATCGTAATTAAAAAGTTAATGAAGACTGTCACTGTCAAATTAAATGATTCCACTGCATGAACATTAAGGTCAGAGGTACCTAAATTAGTTTTACAGACATTAATAATTTTGAGGCGGATTTTCACTCTGTGTCAGTGATTTAACATTGAACATCGATGCTTTCCAACATTATGTTTCTTGGCTTTTAAGTAACTAAACGTTTTTATTTCCGGGTTCGCCAACAGAATTGATCATTAGTTCCGCAAGTGTAGTGCAAATTAGATCTCGGAAAAGGTGCTGTTACTGCCCCGCTAGAATATGAGATCCGGCGCCGATTGTTTTGGTTGGGTTACCCCATCTAGGTACCTCCTCCAGCGGGGCACAGCCCCTGCACAGAACAAGCTCTATTGCCTGAATAGCATTTCTACTTGGCAACCTCGCATGGGTAGAGCGATGCTGCCACTTACTCTGACGGCAGACAGACAGACGGTCGTGTGCTCGTTTTGCATCCGATCACAACAGTACCAGCAGTAGCAAGAAACAAGTCGCAATAAGAGCACACAGCAGTAGAAGACACGCGATACATATCAAAAGAAGCAAAAGCGCTTTTCAATTTTCCGTTTCATTGCGTTGTAAGATTTCATTTTTGTATTAATATGTACCGGTGACTCTGGGGTGACGTCATCCGAATTTGAAGCCTCTGATTGGATAACGGAACCCCCCTTTCCCATGCCAGCCGCTAGCTGTCATGTAGGCAGAAATATTATTCCGGCAGTAAGCTTTCAAGTGATATACTGACATATGTTGGAGTGCAATGTAAGAACGTGTGTTCGTGTGTGCGTGAGGGAAGAGCAGGGGAGAAAGCCGAGGAAGGACAGGTCGCACGTAGTTAAGGAACTGCTCCGACCACAAAAAATAGAATTCTTCTCCACAGATCTTCTGTCTTCTCGTCATTGAATTTTGCCAACGCCGAAGCTCAAACGGATCTCCCGATCGGCAACGCTGCTGAGACGCCAGCATTTGTTCCGAGCCATCGAGGCCCGTTCTTTGTGGCGGTGCCGCGTCCTTCCTGAGGCCCTAGTCCAAGTCGGTGAACAGCTGCCTGTAGGGCACCCGGTCGAAGATCCTCTGCGCCAGCGGCCCGTAAATCACCGCGAACACTTGGTCTATCGCTGGGGTGAGCGCGTCGAGAACGGGACGGTAACTGTAATTGATGATTTTGTTCGTGACGGCCGCTGCATAAAAGCAACAAACGAGCAAATAGATAAATAGGTGAATAGTAGGATAGGTGAATAGTAGAATAGTAGAATAGGTGAATAGTAGAATAGTAGAATAGTAGAATAGGAGAATAGTAGAATAGTAGAATATGTGAATAGTAGAATAGTAGAATAGGTGAATAGTAGAATAGTAGAATAGGTGAATAGTAGAATAGTAGAATAGATGAATAGATGAATAGATAAATAAATAAATATATAAATAAATAGATAAATAGATAAATAAACAAATAAATACATTTATTTGTATAAATTAAAATAAATTAAAATAATAATTATATATTAATAATTAAATAAATTAAAATAAATAAAAATCATTTGAGTGCAAATGAAAGCTCTGCCAATGCAGTGTCCTTTTATATCTTTAGGAGATATTACTGTCATCTTTATATTTGCCTACTGTTATCCCATTTTTTTGTCAGCTTAGCGTAATTTATTATTATATATAAATAAATTAAATAAATATAATAAATATAATAAATGTAATAAATGTAATAAATGTAATAAATGAAATAAATGAAATAAATGTAATAAATGTAATAAATGTAATAAATGTAATAAATGTAATAAATGTAATAAATGTAATAAATATAATAAATGTAATAAATGTAATAAATGTAATAAATGTAATAAATATAATAAATATAATAAATATACTTATAACTTGTATTATAAATATTTATTATATGCACGTATATTCATTCAACAGCTGTAATACATAACTTTTTCTTAAGCTATTTATAATACTCCGTGTTCGTAACGTAAACGAGAAAGTGAAAATTTCGGGAAAATAAATCACCGAGAATAAATTATCATATTATTACTTTCCCATAGACAATGAATAAAAAAGTTATGTTGTACGGCAACCAGTCGATCTCGAGAATTTGACCGATTGGAGATGTTTTCTCGAATTCGAAACCATCGACTTATTCAAGACGACCCCGAGAATTTGACAAGTTTTGCGGATTCTTGATACAGAAAAAGTATGTTTACTTCTCGCTACTGAGTATAAATAATTCTGAGTAAGACGTAATACTGGGTGAAAAAAAGGCTAATTGTCGGCAGAAAAACTCATATTACATGGCCCTGGTAAAAAAAAGTTGATAAATCCAGTTGCTAAATTTAGAAAAATATGTATGTTCGACCATCCGTCTGTCTGACCGTCCAAACGTCACAGAAGGGATAAAAGAACCAATTTCAATTGTTTTTTTCAAATTAGGATGTGTAAAGTTCTAATACATCCCGAAGCTGAAAATTTTATTTCTCAAGATATTGAGAGTAGACGTAACTTATACATGTTTTCAATTCTTCTTATCAAATTTTGAAGATTTGTCAATTACACAATACTCACATAGCGCAGTATTGTTGAATAGATTCTTGAAGTCTACTTGAAACTTTTCGTAATACGAGTGCTGGAATGCGTCGTCAATGATATAGTATTCTTTGCCGTTGCGATCTTCAAGACGACCGCGCACTGTGACGGACAACGTGCAGTTCTCTGTGGACATGCACGACAGGTTGTCACCTTTTAACGACCAATTGTTTTATTAGTTATATAATGTGATAGGTAATTACACGTATGTAGAAACAGGAGCAATAAATGCATATAAGCATAAATACGAACAATAGTAACAATGGGGTAGGGAAGAGAAACAAGGAAGACAATTTTAATTATAAAGAATGCAAGGGAAGATAAACATAATTGATAGTGGGGAGAATATAGAATATACATGATAAATAAAACAGTTAAAAGGACACATGAACAAATTCCGTAGATGAGAAAATAAATTACAAAAATTCTTACGAACAAGAACCAGAGAATAAACGGACACGGTGCTAAGTGCGAGTGACCAATCAGGAATTAGATCGTGTGCGAAATATCGAATGGTCGGCGCACTAGAACGAAGAAGAAACGCATTTGAATACAATTTCGCGCAGGGTAGGAGACAGCTGAAGATCGCGTAACGCAAACAACCAGAGGGAGATGGTTGGAGGTGCTCGTAGGAGCGAGGCTATTCTGACGCGGTAGGAGTCGAACGCAGAGACGAGATGTTTCGAGTCAGTAAGATTTTCTTAATGAATAATGAATAGGCAAATGTGTAATTATACACAGAAGATAATTGTGTGTGTGAAGGACGTGGATAGTATTGGAGTGGACCAAATTCAACGAAAATGGAACCGAAATGGATATAGAACACCGTTCAAGAATGCAGTGGCTCTACGAAAGAAAATTAACAAATCAGGGAACATTTTTTTATTTACTATTGTAGGAAGACCAAGTCTTGCATTAATTTTTTTTTAAATTCGAAATTAGTAATTAAAGGGGAAAATTGGCCATGCATAGAAAGGGGAGGGATCTAGAAAGAATATTACAAAATTATAATAAGGGGGCTTTATGAATAATTGTGTTTATGAAATTGTTGTTATTAAAAGGCATATTCGGATATAATATATGTGTTTCACAGCAGAATACAGATCGAAATGTATTAAACCAAAGTGAATATTATTATTTCTGAATAGCATCAAAGAGAGATTCCAATCGAGCGTACGGAAGAAATAAATAAATTACCATACGTAAATATTTTAAAGACATGTGTATAGACGTTCTATTGGACTCATACATTTTCATCATGACGGGGCAACCTTCTTGATGCAACCTTGGAGGTACTGTTGGGTGAAATTTCAAATAGTAATTTCAGCACAATAAATAACAAAAAGGTACCAGGAGCTGTCTTGCAGTCAGAGCAGGGCAGAACTTTGCTGATAATGAGTTTGAAGAGTATTTTTACAATTATTCGGACCACGAATATCACCAACTAAGTCCAGATACTTGTGCAGTGTGAAGGTATTCATGAAAGTAAGTTAAAAACTCTGAATGAGAATATAGTAGCTGCCTGCGAATACCCAATCCTGAGAAGTTATAAAGCTCCCAAGACAGTCCCTATGTACTGGTGGACTAGCAAATTGAAGAAAAAAGTGCCTTTGTGTTAGAAGAAAAGCAACCAGATCAAAAGGCAATACAATACTCCAAGCGCGTTATAAATGTGCAAGAAAATAGCTCAGAGAATAGACAAGAACAGAGTCCAGAATATTCCCGGACTGGATGATACGGAATGGGTGAATAAAATCATCCCAGATCTCTTTCCACAATAAGACCACTGAACAAGACATACATTCGACCCACGTGAAGTGACGGAAGACAAACCGTTCACTTATCTGGAATTGGAGCAAGTGGGAATGCAAATTAAAAATGTTAAACTCCAGGTCCTGACGGCATACCAAATGAAGTACTGAAGAAAGTAATTGAGGTATCCCCGAAAAATCTTTTGAAACATCTTCAAGGCATGTCTGAAGAAAGGGGAGATTCCTAAAACGTGGAAACCACACAAATTAACCTTGGTACGGAAAGCGGACAAATCCCTGAATCAGACATCCTCTTACAGGCCCATCTGCCATTTAGACACTGTAATCAAACTTCTCAAAGACCTTCTTCTCCAAAGACTTCAGAAGCACCTCGAAGAAATAAAAGGGCTCTCAGAGAGAATGGATTTCGGTAAGGTCGCTCGAAGATCGACGCCATCATGCCGGTTGCAAAACTAGCCGAAGAAGGACAAGTGACTGTGCGCGGAAGAAAGGGCTCGGTGCCCTTGTCGCAATAGACGGCAGAAATGCCTCCAATTCAGCAAGATGAGAACATCTTCTGCAAGCATTCAAAAGGAAAAACACGCCAGATTACCTTCTGAGAATTACTGACAGTGATCTAAACGAAAGAGTAATTATAGTGTGTTATAATATTAATGTACAGAAAACGATGTTGGAGAAGGAAATGATCTGTGGAGTTTCACAAGGTTCTAAAATCGGACCGGAGAATAGGGCTAGACTCGAAACTCAACTTTCGACTATACGCCAAAAATGTGGCACTAGAAGCAACAGGGATTGCAAGTGTCCATTCACGACTGATGCCGAATGTAGGAGGACCGAAGCATTTACAAAAACAAGACTTCTCTGTAACGTTGTCAACGTCAAAATGCTTCAAGTGACACCGGTGTGGGCCAACAGGCTACGGTTCCAAAGCTGAGGAAACTTTAGTTCCTTACTTTATTAATATCTTTCTTTATTAACATTTTCTTCAGTAGAGGGGATCACAAGCACAAAATTCAGTTCAGGCCACAGAGAACAGATGTTGGAAAATGTTCCTTCACAAATAGAATAACGGACTGGAATAAGTTGCCTGCGACAGCCATGGATCCCTCTAGGTGTACAAAGATTTAGAAAGTATATTAAATAAGGCCATTTATAAAATGTATTAATTAGTAAGTTAGGCGCATTGAAATAATTATTTTATTACTATTGTTATTTTTATTATTAGTATTGTAATAATTACTATTAAATACATTGCTTCATTAAATATATAATTAAATTTAAAGTAGTAGTTGAATTGGAGTGTGGTGACGTGTTGTTAAGTGTAGTGCAATATAGAAGAAGAAAGAAAAGTGAGAGCAAATGTAATGAAGTGAAGTGAAGTGCAGTCTATCTATTGGTTAAAATATCTGTGCAGTAGAGTCATAAAATGTTGAGTTAATGATATTATTTTGTTATATCATTATTATTATCTTAAAATTATTAAAATTACATTGTACCTATATTCGTAATTGTAATATGTTAACTGTAGTGTTCTGCCACCAGGTTGTATACACCTACCAGCAGAAATAATAAATCTATCTGTTCAGGATGATCTTGCAGACTGGAGTGTTGGTCTGAGCGGGAGTTGCCCTGATAGAACTCTTAGCACTCTACCACTCTAGAGCGGAAGTAGACAGTATTTCGAAAGAAGCTACTACGAAACAAAAGGGAACGGAGAGAGAGAAAAAGAAAGCCAGAGAAAAGTCCATAACGAGCTGACATAGGCGCTAGAACAACGAAGAGCCAAGGAAGGTGGACTTACAAACTAGGTGCCTAATTATCGCCAAGCGATTTGTTAACACAAATATTGGAAAAGGACAAAGTGGTCACAAATTGAAGAATTCATAAACATTGCCTTTTCAAGAAAGGGAGGAGACGGAAGTAACAAAAGAAGAGAAACATAACAAATTGGTGGAAGAACTGCAGCTAAGATCGCCCTCTGCCAAGTAATATCTAACCAACTCAGTCGTAATCACATTTAGACAGCTAGAGATAAAAATTCACCTAACACTACAATACAATAAAATATAATACCTATAAGTATTACGTTTTCTAATACGTGAAACCCTCATTTACATAGATAAATCAATCAACAAATGCCATGGCATATCAATATAGCCTTGCAAAAAATTTTAGAACAGCGATAAAAAAATGGGAGGAAAATAAACAAAGAGGGAGAAAATGAAATAATTTACATCTGACTGCATAGCGCAACACTAAATTTAGCCCAACACTTTTTTATCAATGCATGGCTAAATATATTTGACGATAGATATTATATTGAGTAAAGTACAAAATACTGTTTACTAAGATTTTTCTTTTAAATTTTTTTTTCAGCGGTTTAGGAGTGCTGGTTGAACGTACTGTGTGTTAAGAACATGAAAAACATTACGTATTACGATGAGTTAATATAGGGTGCATTTCATGGCATTTTCCAGTGCACAGTTTTTACTGCACAAATTCATATAGATTTCACGTGGATGTAAACCAGGGCCTTACGTACGCCTCATCGTCACGCACACACGCGAGCGAAACAGGTCCAAAGACAATTTTGAATTGCCTTCAGCGCCTTTCTTATAATTTTAAAAGAGCGTAATGGAACTTACCGAAATACACGTCCATATCCCCTGTCCCTTCAATCGGGATACCTATAATGCTGCCAGTGATTTCGTACTTCCCTCCAACGAAGTACTGCGGGGCATAGAGGACGAAGAAGAATTCATGAGCATTCGGGTTGACCCTGGGAAGAGTTTTTTGGTAGTCGCAACGTCAAAAACATTGAAATACGTATTATTAGGGTTTGGATTCTAATGAGCCAAAGATTCTCTGAAAATGACCTGTAAAAATAACTTAAAAATAAGGGGGAAATGACCCCGATATTTTTTAAACCTCAAAATTTTGTCTGAGAATGTTTGTTTATTCAATGAATTTTACAACTGTTTATAAAAAATGTATGTATAAAATTATATTTAATATAAAATATTTACTTTAAGAGGAAATGTAATCCATAGCTCCGATCTTTCAACCGTCAGTAATTTTTAAAGTTAGAAAAACAGAGCCCATTGCAATAGAGGATATCGTCATGGTCTGATGATACAATAAATATTTAGTTTTAGTCTGTCATTGTAAATTCATGAAACATTTTCTAATAAAAAGCACCAAAAAACAAAATGAGTAAAAATTACAAAAATGATGCAAATATTAAACAAATGACCTAAACATTAAAAATGGCAAAATTATACAAAAATGAATCAATAACTATTTATTCTATCACCTATAGGTCATGATAAATATTGATTTATAAGTTAGCTACGTCTAGAATGCACCAATGAAAAGATGAAGAATCATCATAATCCGACCTCTGCTTATTATAGAATTTTGAATATGATAATGAAAATGATCTTCGTATATTCTAATAAAAGTGAATTCAACGACATGTAAACGACATTTATTCCCCCAAAAGGAGTGTTTGAGTAGATACGAATTATTTATAGGCTCTTTTTCAGGATTTGACGCAGTGTCTTTGTAAAGTTTGGTAAAGATAAATACAACACAAATGCGGAAAACAAATAATTTAAATAATATGCTGGTAATTGCACCACGATCATTATTTTTCGCCTGTTGCTAAGAAACAAGTATCTAAAATGTTCCGCCAGAGGCCAGCAGCGATGCGGCTGAACAGTGTGCCCAAACTCCATGAAAAGTGGCACATCTGCGTGGTTTTTCCACCCAGAAGCTTTTTGTGCTGTTAATTTTGTTGTAACTCTACTAAATGGAGCTGCAGCACAAAATTGCGCCTAATTTTAGTTTAATTTCCAATCAAACCGGGCTCCACCTGAGGGATTCCTTCCACCCAGGAATTCTGTGGAGATCATTTGGTGCAACTCGTAAATATTATTTGCAGCAAGTACCATTAAAATGATTTTAAAATCGTTGAAATCGGCGAAAATGCATCAAAAATTACCGCAAAAGGTAAAACAAAATGATTAGTCAAAATCTACGAAAAATGCAAAGTAGTAACACAGAAATGAGCGATTTCCTTTTATCTTAACATGAAATTAATGTATTTCATTAAAATACACCCCTTAATGATGACATATGTTATCATGGGGCGCCCAGAGCGTCACGTGGCTGCCACCAAGTCTCCCCATCTGTAAAAGGATCCAAGCGCTGGCTAATGAGCCACAGACAGCAAGAGTAAAGATAGGCAGGAATCGCATTACGACTCCCGGCCCAGTAACATGATGTTGGCTAGGGTCAAGTAATAATTCGCGCACGTTTTCTTGAGCTTTCATTTCGCTACGCGAGAGAGGTAGTTTGATTTATTTTTGTTTTTGTTGTTGGCAGGACTATTATACCAAATCTTTATCTCTTTTTTCTATGGAAAATGATTGACATTGAAGCGAATACTTCTGTTATGAAATTTTGTCAAAAACGCACGATGATATTTTTTTCCTGAATTCAACTAACGTTACTTAAGGAGTACAGGTAGGTATTCCGGGCTCCAGAAAACGTGCTCTCTGGAATGTAAATTGTTGGAGTTGATTCAGAGCAGGGGCCGCTAGTTGTGACCAAATTAGGATTTGTGACGAAAACCCCAAGAAAGATGAAAATAAAAGAAATGGTAATATGTTCCCTTACTTCGAACGCAACACAACTACGTCCTTCCAGCCTCTGTGCACTGTGTCAGAAATGTTGAAGGCTAAGGACGGAAATATGGAGTTGTTACGCTCCAAACTCAATAATGGAAAATGGAGAGGCTCCATTTGAACTGCATTCAAACGGGGTATGCCTGAAATGCACAGAAAAACGAAGTGATTCAGTTCAAAAACACATATTAATCACCAGCATTGAAAATTGCATTAAAACATTTGAAGACATCCTTTTGTAATTTTTGCAAACTTTGGACAGGAGAGATTGAAATACTAAATTATTTCTTTCCTTCTACCTTCCTTTTCGTTTCTCCGTATTTATACCTGTATTGGCTAGTTCAGTATTTTTCTTACATAAAATTAAAAAAAGGATCTTATTTATGACGTACTTGCAATACTTATAAACCTCAGTGTTTTATTTATCTAATTAATTAAAAAGTAGGGCTAAAAATTCATTGCTCATTTCACGTTTCCGGCTGACAGTATCATTCCTCAGTAGAATGTGGAACCGATGGAGACATATTTTTATTACTAAAATACCAAATTTATTCTCATTACTGTAGCGCAACAATGTCGTACGCTGTTTGTTCGTATTTAAAATATCCCTCTGGCAACACAAATCCGATTTATGATTTCAAGTTGTCATGGGCACGTGTACACGTATAACATTTACTTTCCTTTATTGTTCTGTGACTAAAACTATTTAACAACGAAAAATAAACAATCACATTCACACTACATTTACATACAACAACCATTCATTTTTGTGCTTTGATTTGTACATCAATTCAATTCAAGTAAAGCAAAAGCTTCGTTTTATGCCTCCAGTTTTTATTACATCGACACTTCTTTCTTTCTTTCTTTCTTTCTTTCTTTTCGTCGCCATACTTGCGTAAATTTCGTCATTTAAACAGTGCAACAACTTTCACCGGCACACGACAAAATGCTCTGCACTGGGTACAATGAAAAGAAACCGTACACCCGACCTTACTGAGTTCGCGGACTTATCAGATTTCTTACTTCATTCTTCAAAGTTGTACATTCGGGAGCAACAACGCAACAACTATGCAGAAAATACATCGTCTAATAACAAGGTACGTCGGATAAGCGAAGGTCGGGCTTACAATGAGGTGAGATTCGTTAAGTCTCTAAGCACAAATAACAACACGAGGCAATTCACGAAAACATCTTGAAAAATAAAGCAATGAAAGCTAACAACTCCAATGGGCAAGAAATTCTCTAATTTTGAGAACGCTGTAGCATTAGCCAATCACTTTGGAAAATCATTCACTCCCAATTCGTCCCCAACTCACCCCTTGCATCCAAACAAAATCGAAATAGCAGCAGCTCCCAACTACAATGTACCACACAACTACATCTCCCCAAATGAAGTCATCAAATTAATTAAGAACGTGCCATTAAAAACCTGGTCACGGCAAAATAAGTAATACAATTTTAAAAATGCTTACATAAGCCCACAATAGCATACATCACCAATATTTACAACTCAATAATTAGAATTGAACCCGTTACTTGGAAAAATTCAAATGTAATAACCATCCCCAAGCCACTTACAAATCTCACCAGCACTGACAACTATAAACCCATAAGCCTTCTTCCCACTCTATTAAAAAACCTATAAAATTAATTTTTTAAAGACTAAATTCCCATCTGAACAAAACTCAAACAATCCCAAAGCACCAGTTTGACTTCAGTAACAAAGATTCAACTTCTCATCAGTTATTATGAATCACGGAGCACACACACATTTCAAAAACCTTCATAAATTAGTTACCATTTTAGACATTTCGAAAGAGTTTTAAAAATCGTAGCATACTGGCTTTACATTCAAACTTAAAGAAATAGGTACTCCCAAGTATTTAATGAATATCATTAACAGCTTCGTCATAGAAAGAACATTTTCAGTCACAGTTGACAAACACACATCTCATCCACGCAGAATTACAGATGGATTACCTCAAGGCTCACCACTGTCCCCCACGCTTTTCAACATATACTACACAGCCGACATTCGCATAACATCACACACGCACATCGCCCTATTCGCCGACGACACCGCCATTTTCATGTCGAATCATTCAAATTATCTCATGTGTGAACAAATTCAAACACATCTAAATAAACTTGATGACTGGTCTGTCCAATGGAAAATCAAACTCAGTCCTACAAAATCATCCGCCAAAATATTCCCATAAGAACATTTTCAACCCCAACTCCACTCCCAAAAACCAATCACCCAATTCCATGGACCCCACACAATCAATCTGTTAAATACCTGGGAATGAATCTTGATACCAGACTTAATTGGAAAAATCACATATCCGTAAAAGCACAGGATGCCAAAATAAAACTAATTCAACGGAAGCCTCTCTTAAATCGCAATAGTAGGCTCTCATTAAACAATGGCATCACCATCTATAAATCAATAATTAGACTCCTAATGCTTTATACATGACCTATCTGGATCAACGCTGCTAAAACAAACATCAATAAATTACAGACCATCCAAACACATTTCCTCGGACTTGTCACATGCACCCTGGAACATCTCAAACATTCTACGGCACAAAGAATTGAAATTTACACCCTGTAGTTCACCATGTTGCGCTATTTATCTATTTCTTCTCCAAAATAAACACAATAATCCAAGCAACCCATTCCGATTTAGCCACCACCTGCCAACTACGATAAAAAATAGAAACCTATTAGATTTATTCCTCAGCATATTTTGAGAACTGAATTAATCTCATAGGTGCTCTGTGAGTTTCCTATCCATGTGAAGTTAGATATAACTGTAATATTAGCATTTACGTTAAAAAATTAAGTCGGGAAATATATAGAGTATATATAGATAATTAATATATAATATATATATAGTATATATTAATATAATTATATGCGAGCTGTACATTAGCTTGGAAAACCACTTTATAGTAATATCTTATCTCTGAATTTACGCATTGCCAATAATGTACATTGAACCTCAGAATCTATTTCTCTTAATGACATTAAACACAATTCGCCGCGATTACAAAATTGCCAACAAAGTTTTCAACTTCGCACTCATTAGATTTTGTAAATAAATAATTTTATAGAACATTTTATATAATATATTTACAATTCATCTCAGTCCACACAATGTAATATTTAGAATGAGATACCACAAAATAGTTTTTGGAGAGATTTCTTATCAAGGTCAACAACATCAAATGCGAAAAACAAAATGTTGTAAAATATGTGGTAAAATATGTTGAATAAAGTCAACGTTTTTAAGAACTGTTTGATATAAAACATAAACACATTGTTTGGACTTGAGAGAGTTAAATTAAACATTATAATTACGTTATTAGCATGGCAATAATAATATTAATAATAGTAATTAATAACTTTATCAATGTGGGAAAGTGCACCTTAACTCATTGCGTGGTTCTTCAGTTTCTTTCAACTTTCAATCGGTGAAAAGCTTATTCCCAAAGTGGCGTTTTTCTTTTTTTCTTTTTTTTTCTAGATACGTATATTCTTAAGACAGTTCTCCATCATCTGGCTAAAAAGTGTGTTCACAAAAATGCGTTCTGGTAAATGGTAAAAAGTGTCAAAAAACGCGGAAATCTACTTGAAAGCTGATTGTGAATACTGTTTGTTCCTAAAAGATGTATTTATTGAAGATATGTCACTTTGGAAATAAACATTTCAATTCTAACACGTCCTTAGCGATTTAACTTACCGTCGGCAAGATGTTTCAACATTTTGTTCGCAGAGTTGGTAAAACATTCATCAATTTTTGGATCTTTTGCACTACATATTTTCACATCAGAAGCTGTAAATAATTGTAAAAATCCATGTAATAAACGATGTTTAGACGATTAAATTTAAATAGAACAGATTTTGTTGAATTTTGTTCCTTGCCTCAAAGATACTCTTTATCAATGAAATTTTGAAACTCAATGATCACATTGTTTTGAAAACATTGAAATATGAAATCAAGAAGTATAGGAGACATATCTTAAATTATATTTGGTCTTTTATGTGATCAAAATTTATTCAAGTACTATTCACTTCCATAACATTGACGTTATCTTGAAATTCAAACTAACACGGATTTCAGAATTCAACTCTTGCTCGAACTTAAACGATTATTTCCATTGCCACTTAGAAAGGTTCCTTTGATGACATCGAGGTATTCGTAGAAATTCTCATTCAAATGTGTTAAATGAAACGTAAACAGCCAGGTTGCGAGGTCATCAGTAACGATCTTGAACTCGCTTGTATTTTTGAAATTGAGAAGTGGTTTCAATACCAGAAACTGCTTCCAACGTTAACTTAAAATCTGAACGGGTCAAGTAAATTGCTCTTATTTACTGAAGTCTTGTGAAACTGGCTTTCCACCTTTCATCAACGATTTTTAAAGGGAACCAGAACACCTTGCTACACTCAGGAAAAAAGGATTAACAACACTTTTTAATGAATAACAAGACAGCAATAATCTTGTTCCTAAATAGTATTAAAGCATTTTATTAAATCTATATGATTACTCGTCAGTTAATTATGTGCTTATGTGCTTTAACTTTTGTTTCTGCTCTATACCATCACTAAAATCATCATGCACAGCTTCCGAACAGCTCAAATGATGTACCTAAATGTGCGTATTCAAACATTCACGAAAACCTTCCTTCAGCATATGAACATTTTAAAATAAAATATTTCGAATAAATTAAAGCAGATATGCAATAGTTGCAAGCAACACGTATGTACCGTCGAAATCAGTGTGGAATGGTTTTAACAAATTCAAAATACTTTCAGTGTCTTCGATGTTCTACTTATGCAGTATACAGCACATACATTGAAATTCCGTACTTACGAAGGTATGAAGTATTTGAACTATTATCACATGATACATTGAGGCCCCACCACAGAAGCAGAACCATGCAATAACAGAAAGCTTTGTCAGCTTTGAGGAGCATCTTGTCTCGTTGAAGCAGAACCTTCATCTGGTGTTCTGCCTCTCGGTTATATACTCCACGAAGACCACGTACCTTGCAGAAGAGATGCACCAGATTCAGAACTGGTTTCAATGCACTTTTCCACCAGGCGCCACTGCATGCCAAAGAAGAAGGTCAGTAACAGCACTGTTTGTACGGAAATAGGAGCACTCGTATGTGTGTCGCAGTTTAAGCGAGCACCAAAACAAAATACCTCCCTCCAGTTACTTTGCTGGCCACGGAGAAAAGTGCCGGCTAAAAATAGAGAAGATTGAACTAAATCAGTGGTTCCCAACGGGCTCGGTACAGACCCCTTGGAGGGGGGGTCGGTGAAATTTTGAAAGGGGCAAGAGATCCGTTGGAAGTCAATTGTTGAATATGAACTGGCGCCTGCCCAATACAATCAAGATCCCAATCCGTAAAAAAATAATGAACTTAATTGTTTTCTGATATAAAGCAAAAACACTTCATAATAAATTATAAATTTGCTCTTTTTCAGTCGTTCATCCCTAGGAGATACGATGTTCAAAAACTTCAAAAAAATCTCTAAATGTCACAGCGATTTAAAGATTAAAGCAGTAGTCCCGACACTTCTGAAGCTTATGAGCAATCATACCGTTTTCAATCCTACTGTGAGCTACCAAAAAACCATGGCAGAAAAAATTGTTTTTCCAAATCATTTAATTCCAAATATAAACACACATTTATATTAAATATTAAACAAATTTTAAGAAAACTGTATACAAAAAATAAATTGAAACGAAATTGCATATTACAAAAGATTGAAATATAGTTCGTAACAAACAACAAAAGGAAGAACAGATTTTTCATTAGACCTCTTAACCAACCTTCGCCAACTCTGGGCATGACCGAGAAAAACCGGAAATTGTCCGCTATCGGCGGTTTGGCGATAACTGCTCCAAAGTATCTCACCGGCATCCTAGCTAATATTAACGCGGCCTCGCGGGGATTCCAGGGGTAACCGCAACGCGAGCATCACGTAAAACAATTTGCTTAATAAAACAATTGACAGCGCATCACGACCCTCGGCTACCTTCACGCATGAACCGGTCTTGCGCAAACCCGGCTAGGTGGAGCCGTGAGAACCGGCCCGCAGCGTGGCAGCTTGCTTCTGCGGACGACGAGAACTGAACTCAACTTCTGGGTCAATGATCCCCATCTCGATCAGGTTTTCGTATTTTCCCTGATACTCGAGCAAAAGCTGAGATGGCCGCTTGTTGTGCTTCTGTATATAAATGTAATATCAAATTAACTTCTCTCAATAGCACGTCATACACAGTTTGTAACTATTTTGACGTGAATAAATAAATAAAATAACTAAATAAATAAATAAATAAATAAATAAATAAATAAATAAATAAATAATTAAATTAAATAAATAAATAAATAAATAAAATAAATAAATAATAAATAAATAAAATAAATAAATAATAAATAATTAAAAAATAAATAAATAAATAATAAATAAATAAATAAATAAATAAATAAATAAATAAATAATTAACTTGGAATCGTCGGCCTCGTTCACCCAAACGGTTTCCTCTCCTTTTCGTCCTTTCTTTTTTTTTTTCACCCTTTCCTTTTTCCTTCCTTTTCTTTTATTTTTCACCTTTTCTTTTTCTCTCCCCTCTTTTCTTCTTTTTTTTTCCTTTCCGTGTTCCCTCTTTCCTTTTCCTTCTTTTCAAACCTTTTTTTTTTTTTTCCCTCCCCCTCCCTCCTCTTTTTTTATTCCTTTCTTTTTTTTTTTTTCCTTTTTCCTCTTCTTCCCGCTCCCCTTCTCAGTCTTCATTCTTCTTCGCCTCTCCTATTCCCATGCCATGGCCATCGGCCCTGCAGCCCACGTCTCAGCTCTGATTCGGAGTTCACTTGCGAATAGCTTTCGAAATTCAGTTTAGCCCTTTCAGAGCCCAGTGGACTGCACACGACTTTTAATTGGCTATTTCTGACACTTTATTGTGTCAGAATTGTTTACTGATTGTGCGAATCTACATATAGTTGTATAGCTAAGTATTGTTATATTTAGATGTGTGTGTGTGTGTGTGTGTGTGTGTAGAAAGCAACTTTAGAGTAAAAACAAATCATTACTTAAAGGAGAAATGTTTACAGCGAACAGAAAAAAATCCTGTTTGAAAGGGTTAAAGTCGGGTAGCCAGAAATGCTGTTATTACAATCCTAATATCAGCGGTGAAGAAAAGATTTTCAAAAATTTGAATCAAAACTTTCCCAGCAAAGTGAAGAAGTGTCCAACTTAGTTACTCCCATGACAACAGTAATAAGCAAATTATGGTGACATATCGTATTCCTATTTGGAATGAAATTGAACTTGCGAAATATTATAGAGAAAATCATTTATGGCCGATCATACGAATACAAGTCATTTTTTGGAAAAAATTCTGTGTTTGAATTTTTTCATCCTTGGCTCGTAAAAGCCTGGTAAAACATGTACAAGTCAAATCCTATTACAACACACTATATTTTTCTCACACTGCAAATATTTTTAATATTCAAAGTATGAACAAGGTTTTTTGATTTCTTGCCTTGTGATTGCCCATCAAAGAATTATCAGTTATCGACAAGACGAAAACATTGTCGCAATGTTCCTCTCAAAAACACATTTCACAGAGAAAACAACTTTAAATTACATGACTACGAAATATAAGGTACGAAACTCCCAGATTGCACAGCCTATGGAGGAACAGCAACAACAAGAACAACAATAATAACAATAACAATAATAATAAATAATAATTAATAATAATAACAATAAATAATAATAATAATAATAATAATAATAATAATAATAATAATAATAATAATAATAATAATAACTGAAGGACGTAGCTTCTGGGCTCGTTGTCCCGAAAAAGCGTGAAAGGAACGCTAATTGGCTCCTTTGTTAACGTCTCGTCTCGTTTAGTCCCTTTTTTATTAAATCGATGCTTTTATGTTCAATTTTATTATTCTCAAATTGGCAAACCGGGAGAGTTGGTTCAGGGAATCAACTGATGTCACTGCAGTGCACTCTCACCGGGTTGTTGTCGTCTGCTGGGGTTTCAGTTCCATTTTCGACACTAGTCAGATGGCTAGGTCGAGTACTGTCTCTGTCTGGCGGAGAATTCTAGCGGCTGGCTGCTCTGATAGGTAGTTTCTCGTGGTTTCTCCGATCAACACCTGACCAATGCCGGAACAGTACCTTAACAAACGGGTCACGGACCGCGCGCGATCTTGCCTTCCCATTTCTTGTCGTATCCTTAAACACACTTACACTTATAAGCACTACACTACCACACATGTCGGGAGACCTGTCCAGGACAGTAAGTTTCTCCCGGCTGGTACGGTGCCCCGCTGGTGGGAGATACCTGGTTGCGGAAAACACTGATAGCCTACTATAGGTCGGCGCCGGATCTCGCCATCCAGCGGGGCAAGATCACCGCCACCTCCTGAACAAAACAACATGCACTACACTTACGGGACTAATGACCTTAGTAGTTGACGCACCAATAATCATGAGTAATTAATCAATCACAATGGCAACATTTCTTTTTCCTTGCCGGAGACGGCTTTTGATGAAATATCAAAAAACTGCACGTTACACGAACATTTAAGGTCCGTTTATAATACTGTTCGATTTGACGTTAAACAGCAGTGAGTACAAGGGCGGGGAGACGCATCAATTTGTGATGTCACAGAAACGTCAAACCTTGAAGTTTTCGATTAGCCTCTCTCTTCACAGCTGTTTTACGTCAAATCTGCTTACATTTTATTGCCTATCTGTAACTTTAATAGTAGATAGGCCACTACGCATCTGCGAGCAATCTCATGCTGCAGTCTTGTAAGCTTGTCAGCAAGGTTCGGTTCAGTTGCTGTGTGGAGAATTCTGGTGTCCGACTGCTCTGATCCATAGATTTCCATTGTTTCTCCAATCGTCACCAGGCCAATGCAGGAAAAGTACCCTTCCAAAAGAGCCACGGACAGCGCGCGATCTTTCCTACCTCTTCCTTGTCCTATCCTTCCCCTTACACACACACATGCACTACACTTCGTCTCTTGTCGGGACCACGCTGGCGAGCGATACCCGATTGCGGGAAATTCCCGTAAGTCGAAATAGGTCGGCGTCGGATCTCGCCATCCAGCAGGTCATCGCCCCCTCCAGAGGAAAGAACTTGTACCACACTTATGGGACCTTAGCTGTTGACGCGCCCGGAATCACTTACAATCAATCAATCAAGGCCTTTCGTCAAATTGGTTCCAGCGTGTTCTGTGAATGCGAACTAGCGAAGCTCTACCTGGAAATGTCTTTGGAAAATATTCTGAATGCAAAGTGCCGAAGAGAAAGTGCATTATAACCAAGGACTAAAAGAATATCCATTTTTGAAAGAAGATCTAAAATCTTAGTTTCTTTCTCTCTCTCTCAAGACAAGTGCCCAACATTGTTGAAAGCATATTTTTTTAGCCGACAATCCATTCTTTGTCTTCATTTGATCCAAATGCAACTGAAAGTATTTTCTCTAACAATTACGAAAATTGAAGGGAAAAAAAAGCTTAAAATGACCCATGATGATGATGATGACACACTTTATTAAGGATCCTCAGAGCAACGTGGTTGCTACCAAACCTCCTTACCTGCAAAAGGTAGTGTATGAGATGCGTGTGTGTGTGTAAGAAAGGACTAAGAAAAAAACAAGGTCGAGGAAGGAACGATTGAGCGCAGTCAGAAGCGCGGTTTGTTTGCTTATAGAACTGCTTGCGCATTCGCCCGGCGTTGATCGGAAAAAACACTGAAAAGGTGGCCGCTAGATTGTATTCGAACTGCCTATCATACTATAATGGATAAAAGAAAATTTTCACCAAAATAGTTGTTATTTTGTTTAAATTTTAAAGATCACAACTTGATCTAAAGTATAAAATATTAACAAATTATAAATTAAATAGGTGTGATTGTTGGTTGGCTAAATGATTGTATGATTTGTTACACCTGCACTTTTTACACCAAGAATAATTGTAATAATGGAAACGTCATTTGTGCAAATTAAGTTTGTTCAAATTGGTGCCCTTATCACAATTAACAAAACTGTATGCTCAGGATATTTTAACCAAGTTCCTAATTTAAAAATTTGAAAGATAGATTGTCATAACAACTATTATATTTTCATTTGATAAGAGTGTAATACAAAGGAGACCTAATAATCTCAATTTTCATCACTTCCAAATGTGTGAGTGAACTAGCTCAATTCATTTTTAAATCCAGTTCAGCGGAAGTGTGTTTATTTAGTCGCATGATTTACAGGAATCTGACTTGCCCAGTCGGAAAGTACACTAAAACAGGGTTACCTGCAAATATGTCATTTTTTTTTCTTTTGGTATGTAGTATGTACCCAGGCAGTCGTTAAACTCCCATGTTTTCGACCAACCAGATTCTGGGCTATCTCCAGGAGGCCAGAAAAACAGGTATTTATCTGATTTTCTTCTATATTGCTCTTTGATCATTAGTCTTATAGGAAAATGATAGAAATCAAAATCGAAGACGATACAATGTCCTACAAAGAGGATAAAATTTCTTTAAAACCACCTACCAAGCTATATACAATTGTTCCAAAGTCGCTATTATTTCATTTCGTTAAAATGTATGAAAAATACGCAAGTTTATATTATAATCATCTTACAATAAATATAATATAATTACATGCAATGCTTTTATTTCTCTCACCGTCGGCGTAAACACCGCCTTCGAAGTGTACCCATTGCATACTCGTATGTAAATATTACCTATGTTTCAGGTAAAATAGTTACCGACTATAAATATTCATTCGTTCCAGAGCCACCTAGGAAAGCAGCTAACAACCTGGCACATTGCCTAACGTGACCTTTATTACGTGGTCACATCAAACGATTTTGAATTATCTTATGAGGGGAAAGTGGTAAATATTACTTTTCATTTAAGATCATCCTGCGACGGGTGTCCTTGCCAGATTACTTTGAACAGAGACATCCACAGAAGCTCATTTCGTAGAGAGATTCATTTTGGTTTAGGGAAACATAATTTGATTTTAATAAATAGCTCTTAAAGAAAGAACAATCGATTTCCCTCATTTCTGATTGGTTGCTAACACGTGTTTCCATTCCGTGTTTTTTTTAAGAACTTGGAGAACATGCCGCGATCGCAAATGCATTCTTAAGGTCAAGCGTTAACTTCTTCTAGATTTCTCTGCTGTAATATTTATAGAGGTTATGAATTGTATCTTGCTTAAATTGCGATTAGCAGGATATAAAAGAAACGTGAATGAGAGTGCGAATAAACAAAGTTCACTGACTAATCACAGAATGAGTACCGGCTATGAAGTAGATTTTAAGAACGTGAAGATTTTGGCCAAAGAAAAAAAGGAATCGTAGATTGGTGGTAGAAACTTTATTTATTAAAACTACCTATTGTTGCAGCTCATAGATTGAATCTAACAACTTCACTACACTCTAGTGTGTTGAGTAATTTCAAGAAATGAATTTGTTAATGTTTTAATGTTGTTTTAAAATACAAAAGTATTTTTTATCATTTTTGGGCTGGCAATGCTTGGAAAAAACGTTTTCTTTTTTTCACTTTGCCTCTTCTTGACCGTTAGCATCAAAAGAGTTTTATCACAGCACGCCAGACCAACAGTCCATTAGAATGACTGTATTGTTAATATTTTAATTATTATGACACTTTGTTATCTGCCGAACAATGTTTCTTAAATTTAATTCTTCTGTGAATTGTGTCTATTACACACTAAGATGAGTTTAATAAGTCTTATTGTATTGGGTAATATTTTTAATGTCGTTGCAACAAAATGTATAGTAATAATAGAATGTATTGATTTTAGTCTGATGATGAGGCAAATTGCAAGCCACGAAACGATGCGCTGTACGTATACAATAAGGTTTTAATAAATGCAATAGCTTGCAAGAAATGGTTCGTCTTAAATATGGCCACATACGTTTCTTGAATAATTCTATCTTTACGTTTAGTTTGCTAGTTCGATTCGTCCAGAATGTATAGGAGCTTCGGTAGGGAAATAAGTGTGTGTTGAGGTAGATTGCCTGGGGGCCAATGTACTCATTCATTTCTTATTGCAAACTAACAATTAAAAATGTATTATTTCAAAATTATTTACGGTAAATCTGAGCAGATAGTGTCTATCCCTATTATATTTCCCGTATCCATCCATTGTGATTTTGTCGAATAACAGAATGAGGGACCATCGTAGGGTTTGAACTTGCCAAGAGGGGACAAATTATCTTAAGTACTTTATTTTAATCGTAGTTTAGTCATTTAAAGTAATTAAAATATTAAACACAACATACTTCATTTCATAGACATAAGTACAATTAGATGACATTAACGTTTCCTGTAAATCAATAACTTGATTAACTGCCACTTTTTGCCAGAACGACTGACGGCTATTTCAAACAGTTTTATATTCGCAATAAAACATAGTACAAACAAAATATATACAATTCACACGCTATTCAGCGCGTGTTTGCCTAATTAGGTGTATCGCTACGCTATGTAAAAAATGGATAATACATTGTGCCAGAAAAGCCTCACCTTGGTGGCACTTAGTGAGTGTGCTAGCAACCAAACGATGTTGGTAACACGATCTATAGCTTGAAATAAAAGAAAACATAAATTGCGCACTCACCACAATAATAACAGTTGCTGGAAGTTTGGTCGGTGTCAGTTGGTGAAGGGAGCGTAGCGAAATTTGCGTGATCAGACGGAAGAGCAGGTCTCAAAGCCCGAGTCTCGCCACGTAAAATAAGCTTTCAAATCAAATAAATGGCACATGTAAACTAAGTCCCTGGCTCGGTTCGCGGTGGAGAGACTTTCTGGCGCGCTATATTTGGAAGAGGAGAATCGGATTAGTCGGCGGTCCCCGCCTCCGAGGAACCGAAGGAAAACGACGATGCATCTGAGGGAGAGGGGGACAAAGCAGGCTATTTTGCAGCGCTGGCTGCCTCCTCGTAGACCTTCAGCAGATCGGCGACAGCGCGACTCAGCGCCAAATCCACGGGCGTCTTGCCACGCTCGTCCTCGCTGCTAGTACGCGCGCCGGCCGCCAGGAGCGCGCGCGCAGCCGCCATGCGCCCCCAGCGCGCCGCCCCGTGCAGCGGCGTGCGGCCGAACATATCCTTTGCGCACACGTCCGCCCCGCGGCTCAGCAGCTGCGCCACACAGCGGGCGCAACCACGCGCAGCAGCCAGATGCAGAGCAGTCTGGCCAACCGCGTTCCTCGCGTCGGCTGACGCGCCCACGCGCCGCCCCAGCAGCAAGGACACCATGT